CGCGAGATGAAAGCCCACCTGCATACACCTTGGCATGTAGGCTCTATTTTTAGAAACCGAGAGGCCAGGAATGCCGACTGAGGCCACTGCTGGTCTATTTCTCAACTCCTTGGGGAAATCTCTTAGAGATGGTCCTGGTCAAAGAAGCAGCCCTGACCTGAAACCCACCCAGACGGGCGGCTTCTCCCTGAGGACATACAGGTGGGCCCCGACATCCCGAGCTCTTCCCGAGGTGGCTCTCCTTCCGCTTTCCTTGGTGCGGGCGAGAGGCACCCACCCTCTCCACACCTCCAGGAAACTCTTCTAGAAAAGGATCGTGGCTCACCCACAGCCACTCAGAAGCAGAAGCCACTTCTGGCCCGTGGGCTGAGGATTCCGTGCAGGAGGGTCTGGTTGTGTGTGTGGACTGATGGAGGACTCCCTATATTTATTTATTTATGAGGTGGGATCTCTCTCTGTCGCCCAGGCTGCTGTGCAGTGGCACAATCACGGCTCACCGCAGCCTGGCACTCCTGAGCTCAGGTGATCCTCCCGCCTCAGCCTCCCAAAGAACTGGGGCTACAGTGGGTGCCACCATTCCAGGCTCTTATAGAGACGAGATCTCACTGTGTTGCCCAGGCTGGTCTCGAACCTGAGCTCAAGCGATCCTCTCGCCTCAGCCACCCAAAGTACGGGGATGACAGACGTGAGCCATTGTGCCTGGCTGCCATCAGGTTTAAATGCATACGAAGAGCCACTGGCTAGGTGCTTTGTACAGACTCTCACATAGTTCCCGTGCTACTGGGTAGACAGAGGAGTGACCGGTGCATGGGGAGACCGCCTGCCCCAGGGGACCCTGCCGGGAGCAGTGGCCCCAATGTTATCAGATGTCATGTGCCCACCCGGGCCAGCCTGTGAGGGGCTCCCGTGCCCCCTCCCTTTCCGGGCTCCGAGCCCCTGGGACTTGGCCATCTCTTTGTCCTGGGTCCCAGCACGGGACCCGGCACGCCACGGGTGCAGGATGAGTGCGGAGTCATCAGCGAGTGAATGAATCTTACTAGCCAAGTATCAGGATCCTGTGTGGTGCCGACTCCCACGGGTACGGGGTGCGTCACCTTCTCGGCATTCTGACAGCAGAGCCGTCACACTCAAGTGTGTAGCAGGGTGTCTGGCAGGCGTGTTCAGACGCAGACTTTTCTTTTGTTTTTCTGAGGCACCCAGGCTGGAGTGCAGCGATGCGCTCGCAGCTCACGGCAACCTCGACCTCCTGGGCTCAGACGATCCTTCCGCCTCAGCCTCCTGAGTAGCTGGGATGACAGGCATGCACCACGGCACCTAGCTAGTTCTAGATATTTTTCGTAGAGACTGGCCTCGCTATGTAGCCCAGGCTGGTCTGGAACTCCTGGCCTCTAGTGGTGCTCCAGTCTCAGCCTCCTGAGTAGTTGGGATTACGGGCGTGAGCCACCACACCTGGCCAGGAATGTGCTTTTCTGACAAGTTCCCTGCTGATGTGGACGCTGCTGGTCTGGGGATGCCACCCAGAGACTCCGTGCCTTACCGCCACCCCAGAGGACAGGAGCTATTATCCTCCCCTTCATAGGTGAAAAAACTGAGGCACAGAAGCATCGAATAACTCGCTCAAGCATCATCACAGATTCCAGCACACAGGATGCAGGAGGAGAGAGAAAGACCGAGAAGAAGGAAGGGGGCAGAGTCTTGACCCCAGGAACGTGGAGAAAGTCGTAGAACCTTCTACGCCGCAGAAGAGCATCAGCGACTTTGTGCCGGGAAGACACCTTAAAATGACAACGGCAATTGGGCAGGAGGGTGTCTCGCAGGAACAGAGAAAGCCCAACAGCCCCCGCCCCGGAGAGAAGCCACCGAGGCCTTCTCCGGTTCTCTGCCCTCCCCACCTGGGGCCCCACAATGAGGCCTTGTCCCAGCCCCGGGAGCTGCTCCCACGGACCGGCCCCAGAGTGAACAAAGCCCGGCCGCGCGCTTCCCCGGAAGGCCGCTCCTCGTAAAAGGCCACAAAGGGCTCAGTCAATGGGCGTCCTGGGCCTTCTCCCCAGCCCTGCCAGGAAATTCCTCCTCCTCAGCGG